ATTTATCGATAACTATCTTATTAACACTAGCATTATCAAAAGTAAAAGATCGAATTTTAGTCTCACAATGATATTCTCTAACAATACTGATAATAGCATTATATATATTATTAGCATTATGAGGAAATTCAATAATTCTAAAAGCAATAATTTTCTTATGCATGCACCAAAGTGGGTCTATATAGTGTGCGGTTGTAGCTATATATGCTCTTTTATTAACCCCTTCCCATGAATTAGAAATTAAGGATATAACACCCCCATATTGTTGCAAATCCATAATTAATTGTTATTTTGAATTATTGAAATAATTTATTGTATCGGCATGAAGAGTGTTTCGACTTACCCCAACGTACCTCGATTTTAGATATTCTTTCACGAACGAGATGAAGTGTTGGTTGTCTGCAACAGCCAGAGGCAACTCAGTGGTGGCAACAAATTTCACCATTCCGGTTCGAGTATCGTCCTCCGAATACACCCACGTGGATATGGGTGAAGTTGTAGAACCGGTGCCTGGACTGCCAAATTGCAATTGTGTTTGATCAGCTGGAAGAAGTCCATGTCTGGCTGCACATGATTTGTAGTGGCGGTTGAGATGAGTGGTACCAATTCCTTTTTGCCATGCCAATCTTTGTTGGCAGTATTTACATACTGTTTTAGATTCTGCAAGGCCATCAACGACTTTTCTCATTGAAATCAACTTAAAGTGATCCCAACATTTTGCTTATTTTTTGGCATTTCGCTTTCCCCTCGCATCTGAGATATTTAATTGCTTTTCTTCATCTTCATGTTCCGCTTCGTGAACGTTAATATCATCCAAATCAATTGGATTGTGGCTTCACTGACCGTGAATGTGAACATCTTCAAGTATCGGTATGTCATTTAGACCGGCAAATTCATTTGGAAATTGACTTTGCGGCGTCCTAGGCGATTCTCCATGATGTAGCTCACATCCTGTATCGAACAAGCTCTCAACAAATGAACGTTGATCCATTTCTGTGATTGTTTATGATGAAATCTTGACTAAATGAATATAAATGTAGTGAGATTGTGAGAATTGAGAATTGGATGAATTGAAATTGTAACTAATAAACTGTAAAAATTGAATTGATATTGTATATTTTGTAGCACAAGAGAGTAAAAATTCGATAATTGATATAATAAAAGAGAGTTGAGAGGGTTGTAATCTTGGAAGAGCAATTGATATGAAAAAAATCTTTGGGAGAAGTGGGTATTTATAGTAGAAAAAGGGGAGGGGGAATAAAAAAAAAAATTCAGTGACCAAACGGTCACTGAACTCACTGAATAAAAGTTCAACGACCAGAACGGTCACTGTTGAAAAGTGACCAAAACGGTCACTGGCTCGACGAGCCACGAGCTCGGCTCGTGGCTCATTATTTTTAACGAGCCGCTTGTGGGCTCGCCCACGAGCTGCTCGTCTAAATGGCGAGCCGAGCCCGACGAGGCTCGCTCAGCTCGTGCTCGGGCTCGTGATTTCACGAGTCCGAGCCACCCACGAGCCTCTTTTCCACGAGTCGAGCCGACGAGCCGCGAGCTGACTCGGTCCAATTGACATCCCTAACTGCAAATTTGACATGGGGGCTCCCAGCCCAAATTTGGGCTTTGTAAATTAGGGAATTTCACAAAAGTATAACTAAATAGGCTGAGGAACGATTTGATCAAATTATAAATATATGAACGTGTCATCGACACACAATGTGTTTTTAAAATTTTCAAAAAACTTTTTGTATCAAACAAGAATATAAGGTATATTTGATTGCAAGTATGAAATTTACATTGAAAGAAAATAAATTTTAGATAATTAATTGTCTAGAATTTATTTGCATTAAAATTGTCAATTAAATGCATTTGATTGATATAATTTTCAATTTAGAAAATGTTATACTTGTCTATTTTTTATCGGTGGATAGATAACAGAGATATGATATAGATGAGAGAGAAAGAGAGAGAATTACCAAAAAATAAAAATCTACTTCCCCTAAAGAATATATATATATATATATATATTAAAGAAAAATATGGTGATGTGACCAAAAGTATGAAAATGTTTTGTATGAAAAATATCAATTGAACCGCACAAAAGTGAGATTTGGATAAAATATGACGTTTTTGATGAAAAATATTAGCAATCAAACGCAACTTTATATTTTTTGTTTGTATCTTTCTTTGTGCTCTATTTAAATTTATCTTTTCTAAATTTACTTTTAAGACTTGTTAATTGGGCTGTGACTAAGAAAAAGTTGATTTCTCCTTTTCATCTTTTTGAAATAAGATAAGAGACTAAACATTAATCTCAATAAGTTTCTCATCTTCTGCAAATATAGCAAGTAGGTCCGAACAATTTATTTGGAGCAAGTGGGTCCCTTTCAATTTTATCGATGAAGATATTTTTTAGATTTAATTTTATTTTGCCCTTTTTTAATTTTTAGTTAATTTAAAATAAGGACACTAAGTAAATGTCACGTTATAGTGCCACGATCAATAAAAGTGCAACATATCATTAATGTTGTCTGTAAATGGGCAGAGACGGATCCAAAAATTGGATCCAGGACCGGATTACAAAATTTCAAATCGGGCTACTATACGAAATTTCTTTTTTACAAATAAAAAACTAATTTTTTACCAAAAAAAGTAAAAAATACCTTAAAAAAAGCTTTTGGATCTGAGTGTGGGGACTATAGCCCAACCCCCTAAATCCGTCTATGTAAATGGGGACAGATTAGGAAGCAAATTTGGAATTGAAATTTTCTGACAATCCTCCAGCTGAACATTTGTGTCCCACACGATGTATACATAAACAAAATTGATGTATTCCAAGGTCAACACACCAAACCAACGCATGTACAGCTTGGCGACACACCGCCTTCTAGTTCGAGGTTAAAACTTTAATTTTAATTAAATTAAGGTTTAATAATTAATTTTAACAGCATATTTTATAGAATTCGCAATTTTTTAACTACATATTTTATCTTTTTTTTAAAATCAAAATAGACTAAAAACTAAAAATTTGCAATTGTATAATTATCATTAATGAGGAAATTATATAAATTTATGTATAATAGTTACATGATCCTCTTATGTACGTCATATGTAACTCTTGCAACGTATGGTTCTGTCCGAAAATCAAGACCTTTCATTTCCTTTGACTATTCTAGGCTCTATTCTTTTTCTTTTTGGGTGATGAACTACAATATGGAAAACGATAAACATGAGGAAGAATCACACCCTCTATAATAAAAGTAAAGTAAAAATATTATGAAACTATATTGTACTTATTAATCAATGTTTATCAAAACTGAACTAGATTGACGTATTCAATTGAAAAATTAATAATCGACCTGGTTAGAGGCCGCTGACTAGGTCACACACGAACCGATAGATTCATAGCTAAATCCAACTAATTCACATTAAAATTTGTTTTATTTATCATTAAATTTTTTTACCACCGAATCTACTTCAACTTATTGTTTGATACTTGGCTCTTTACATTTTCACAATCAATTTTCAGGTTGTTTCTAAAACATTGTACCCAATTTGAGAGATGGTACTCCGAGACTAAATTTGTACAGATGTATTTCAAGGTTGATTATCAAATTACTTTTTCTTAATAAGTTGAGGATGTAACTAATATTTAAACCATAGATTGATGACCAATGTTTCAAATTGGTAAGAATTGAGTTGAAGAAGTGTGAAATGGCGTAAATTGGTGGGGGTACCAAGGGAATAGAAAAATGAAAAATTCAAACTTGAACCAAAAGATTAGCAATGGAAGGTGGGGCCCTTGATAGAGAGAAGATGTACGCTTGTCTATGGAAATTTCAGCTCCTATGCTTATCGTCCAACCTTTTTTTTTCTATGCTTTGGCCAATTATTGGTCAAAATTAGGGAGAATTGCAGCTAGGGTGTCGAACTTTTTAAATTAGTGTAGATTATACCCAAATCTTTCATATTTGCAGTTAGGATCTCAAACCTTTCATCTCAATTACAGCTATAGGACATGTGCATGGAATCTGTCCATTTGATCGTTAGTTGATCAAAAGTCAACGATTTGAGTAAATTATACCATATAAAATAATCAATTAAAAATTAAAAATAAAGAAATTAGAAAAAATTATATTTGGTCAAATTATTGACTTTTGGTCAACAGACGATCAAATGAATGAATTCCGTCCACGTGTCCTCCAATTGCAATAAAGATGAAAGGTTCGGGATCCGAATTATAAAAATAAAATATTTGAGTATAATTTGTAACAATTTGAAAGATTTGAGACCCCAACTGCAATTCTCCCTCAAAATTTAATTTGTGTTCAAGTCTTGGCTTGACTAGAGCTTAAGATTAATGTATTTTTGTACATGTCAACCTCAGACAATATCTTAGGATAACAGCGAAAGGAGCATTCGAATATGTGACGTTTTTACTTGCAGATGGTTGTGTCTCAACTTCTGCTCTTTACTTTTTATCAATAACTATCCTTCCGATGTTTTCGTAGAGATGAAAAAGAATATACGAAATCGATTCTCGATTGACATCATAGTTCATCTATTACCACTCTTAACTCTTTAAGAATTTAGAGGTGGACGCGATTATATTGCAATTAGATATACGGTGCATGTTATAAAAGAAGGGACTCAATACTTTTTTGAAGATTCGAGAAATAGTAGAAAGACTAGCAAAAGTTACAAGTAATTGAACTTGTATATGCCATTTCACTGTGTTTTCTTATATCAAAAGCTCTATTTAGCTTCCGTTTGTGAAGAATTTGTAAATGATTTAATTTTTAAATGTACGATACTTGTGATTTCATTGAAACGTGTGGTTAAAAATTAATTAATACTTATTTAAGTTATTAATTTTTATGTAATTCTATTGCCTTAAATAACTACTACTATGAATAGCAGTAATCTGTTTAATTTTCCTTACCAGACATACCATAAACCAACCAATGTGGAAATAACAAAAATGGAAGAAAATCCATGCAAGATTGAAAAGATAATTGTATCCAGAACTGAGAATTTCAATTAGAACAAAGTAAAAAGTGCAAAAATACACGGTAGTCTATTAAACACTGAAATTATTTCTTCATAAATTCAAATCCTATATTACAGCATGATAATCACAAACCTTAAAATCAACCCCTGCTGCTTCCAGATTCAACGCTGCCGGCCGATCTCAATTCTGCAGCTACTGTCGTTGCTTGATATTGAGTCTGTTGAACTTGCGGTGGCGCCCCGATTACTCCTCCCGGCGCTGCTGTGTACATCACCTGTCTACCAATTCCGCCCTCGTACGCCACCTGCGGGTAACCCGCCTCCGTCACAATCCCAACTCCTCCGCCACTGCCTGTGGTTGTGGGTCTCACCATCCCGTAGCCTTCGGAATACCCAGTTAACTTCTGCGGCGGCAGGGTCGATGGCGCTGCCGCCATGGATGGCACGGCTGCCTGTGGTGGTGGTGGTATTGATGTCATGACGTTGTATACTGGTGGTTGGTCACGGTAAACCTCCGGTGGAATCTTTTGGACAGCGTAGTATCCCTGGCCGTTAGGTCCACTCACGGGCCTCACCATCGGAGGCCCGTGATATGCACCCGCTGCTGGACCGGGGATAATGTAAACTTGATGTTCCGTGTTCAGAGAACTTGCCGGAAATACGCCTCTGCCGCTGACCTGCTTCTCTGGCCAATACCCAGTAGGCATTGGAACGCCTCCCGGCATAGTGACCGGTGTCACTTTCTCCTGCACCTTATAGTATTCTCCGCCAGTGAATCCTCCGGTGAGATTATCATCGCTCTTTTTTTTATATATCCCTTGTTGCTCTTCAAGCTTCAGCCTATGCAGATCTTGAATGTGCTTCTGGATCGGATCTGATCCGATCAACTTCTCCTCTAAATTTGTAACAGCAGGATCCTCCCTCTCCTGAACCTTTTTCGTCGTTGGAGGCGGTAGAGGCACCATTCCATTTCCTTTCTCCAAGCCAAATAAGAAATCCACATTATTGTTCGGTGGCGGTGGCTTAGGCAAAACAGTCACGGCCTCCGCCGCCACCGCAGCTGCAGGCGGAGGTGAAGCCGCCAGTACAAGCCCCGTGTTCAACGCCTCCACAAACCTCTCCTTTTCCGATTTCACCTCATCCGATCCAAAACTCCTCGCTGAAGAATTCAAACTCCCACGCGGATTCGAAAAAATAAACAGCCTTAGCCTCGCAGGTTTTGGAGAAATCCTGTACAGCCGATCATACTCATGCATCATATGCTCCAAATCATCATCATTCGTAACCGAGATCAAAGCGTCCAGATCTTCACCAGGAAACTGATATTTAAACGAAATATTATCATTATCACACAAAGCAATCAGCTTCGAAAGCAGAGACCCAAATTTGATGTTTCGATCAACTGCCAAGATTTTGGTCTCACCCCCGACATAAGATAACAGGTTGTCATGAGGACGAGGGTGGATTTTTCCGCCATAACTGCACATCAACTTGACTTTGTAATTTATTGGCATCTGCCCATCCTCCCATGGCGGTGGGTTTTCGAATTCGATTTCTCGGGATCGTGGCGATGAGTCGCCGGATTCCGGGTACGAATTGTACGAGTGATTCTCCATCGATAGTGGGAAAAGAGTTTGTATTAGATTTGGATAGTTGTGATTTTCGAGGAGAAATCTCAGTATTTGTTATGGTCCATTTGAGTCTTCTGGGCTGTTACATACTAGGAGGCCAGATTTTATTTTTGTTAGAAGCCCCTACGGTGGACTGATTTTTTGTGCAATTTTGTTGAGATGGCAATAGATGACGTAAGTGATGATTTTGATCAAGCGCAAGCAGTTAAAGTTGAGTGGCGTCGGAGAATTTGTGGGGGCCACAAGGGGTGGGACCAGCAAGGTCATTGATTAAGGGGAAATTTTTTTTTAGAGATCACCCAACTTCAATTAGTTTTGTTTTGATAACTAGATTTACATTTGTGTTTCAGTTAAACATTTCGTGTACGTAATTCATCTGTAGTGCAACCAAACATTTGTGTGGCATTAAATCAATAGATTTACTAATAAGTAGGGATGACAAAATGTCCCATCCTAACCCGTCCATGAGGGAGCACAAATTCCTCGATTAATTGAGAAATTTGGATGGAGATTCAGAACGTTGTTCTTGTCCCAACGCACATTTTTATTTATTTTTATGTTTTAAAACTTTAAATCGTATTTTAAGCAAATAAAAGTAGAAGTACATGAAATAAACAAATTTTTAATCCCCGTCTAGTTTTCATTGCTACTAACAAGAAAATTGAGTGAATAAATTGTAAATTATATATCTGTTTTTTATTTTTTTATTTTACTTTTTTTCTTTGACAAATTAGTTGCTAATATGGAAATTAAGCCCATGTCTGCCCCTATTTTTTGAAACTCATTTAAAAAAAATTTTAATTACACATTTTATGTGATCTACAACTTTTATTAAATATTCAGTTACATTCTTCATCAACATTTATCAAAATATACTAAAACTGAGCTAAACCGAACAGGTACTCAGTGAACACGTGTCAACACAAGATTTGACAGTTTGAAAAAAAATCCAATCAAGTGTTATCACTCCACCTTGTCACTCCATCCCTATCAAAAGCCCAATTCAAGGAGCATTATTCCCAAGTGATTGAGTTAGGAATTCTATATATATTTTTTTCGATCTTCTTTCTATTTGTTTGAATTAGCTGCTATGTTATTTTGCCATATAATAAGCGTCACGTCACACATTACGTCAACCTAGTTGGATGTGTCATGCACCGTATATCAATCTAAAATATAGATATTAGCTAGATAGTCAAATTGAAACAATTAAAGCTGGATGATCAATCTGAAACTAAGTTGTAAGTTGGATGACTTTCACCAAATTGTAGTCACATGGAAGGGACTAGAGAGGCAAGGAAATGGCGCATGACTGCCATGTCGCAGCTAGTAATTAATAAGTGGAGTATAGGAGAAGGAATTCAACACTGTATGACTCCACTTGTTAATGCCATAATGGAGAGTGATGAATTTCAAATCAAGACCTTTATTATCCTAGTATTTGGCTCATCTTAAGTTGGTTTGACCTTAGAGGTAAGGGGTGGCTGGCATTCTCAAACTTTTGTTCATTAAATAGGGGTGTAAACGAGTCGGGTCGAGTCTAAATTTTCGGCTCGGGCTCGACCCGGTTAAAATAGCCGACCTTTTTTTGCGGGCTCGAGCCGGGCCGAGCTTTTAATAGGCTCGGCCCAAGCATTTGCTCGGGCTTTTTACGGGCCGAGCCGGACGGCTCGTTTTCTCCACTAATTTTTTTTTTTTTTTTAAATATTAGTCTTCTAATCTGCTGCCTTAAAAGGCAGCAGTTTTGCTGCCTTAAAAGGCTTCATTTGATATATTTTTTTTTTTTTTAAATCTTCCGAGCTCACGGGCCGGCTCGGGCAAAGCCCGTGTCCCCAAAATGGGGCTCGGCCCGAGCCTAGGCTCGGGTCTATCGAGCCCCGAGCCGAGCCACGGGAGGTCCAAGCCGGCGAGCCCGTTTGCCATCCCTATCATCAAATAACGTCATTTGAGCTCATTGTCTACAGACTACACTGTTTAGTTTTGTTGAGCACTTCGTACTAAACATGTCGTAATTTTATGGGGAATTTTCTATTTGATTTATCACTGTTCCTTTTTATGGAAAGGTCTATATTGTCCTTAATAAAATGATTTTTTCTATATTGCAACATATATCCTAATTTTTTAATCATTTTATCTTCTATTTACTTTATTTTGGATATTTGAATATAAAATCATTTTATAATCTAATAAATAAGAATAATCTGCAACATACATATCATATTTTCTTAATAAAATACCATATTCTTCAAATGGTAAATTTACATTTTTTAATTGAGATATAATATTCTTTATTTCTTCTAACATTCTTTCTAATAAATTATATAATCCTTCAATTGTATATCCTGTCATTTATCAAAATAATCATCATGCAATTGTCCCTGCGATTCTTTTAAGATCTTAAAAAGATTCGTTCTAATTTAAGCAAAAGTTTAATAGTTTTACCTTAGATTTGATCTAGACTTGTATTCTTAGAATCGAGTGACCTTCGAGATTTGAATTTATGAACTGCTTCCTTCAACGATCTCCTGTCTTCACGAAATTGTTACTATTTCAGCTATTTGTTCTCGCTGTATCAACTTCTAAAGAATAAAATTTTAGACTTTTGTTAAAGAAAACTCTCTTTCTGTTAAAATTATAAGGAAACTTTTTATTAGATCCTTCAAGAATCTATGGGAAAAAGATTTAGAAATTCATATTGATATCAAAATATTAGAATTTTATTTCTATCAGGATTGATATAAGACTTCTTTTTGGTACAAAGGGATTTCCAGAAAAACTGATTTTTCAAACTGAGAATTGGCTACTGCTTACAACTCGAGAATTCAAGATAGGATGAGATGATTTTCTTCTATGGTAATGTCTCTATTTATACAAGTTTATGAGACTTTATTACATCATTGATTACATCAGCAAAGACACTCTTGCCTCTCTATTTTCTTTCTTGGGCCTACATCTTCATATGTTGGTTCAACTTTTCTATCCAAAGAGCATCTTTTTCTATTATTGCTCTTTGTCTTCAATGTCTTCACATGTAGTATTATTGTCCTTCATACACCTTTGTCAAAAGGTGCTTTGTCTTCTTCTTTCATTTCTTCACATGTAGTTGGGAAACTCCCTTAACTGGCAGGATTCTTTTATAGTGGTAGGACATTATGGAAATTGATTATATCAAATCTTGTAATATAGTCTTTTAAAATTTCTGATTTTGCATATCTTCCATTGGATATCAACATTCAATTTTCATATTGGCATAAGCACGAGAATTTTTTATCAAACAAATTTTTGGCAATGTTGTAAATGGTTTTAATTCCAAGTGCTCTTCTATGTCTGATCCATGATTTTGTCACTGTTGGGACTTTTCTATTATTCTCTGTAACATCAATTTGGAAATTGGCTGTAACATATCCAATTGAGATTATGTGTTCAATTGGATAGTAAACAACTCTATCATATTCTGGATTGATTGAATAGAATTTTAAAAATATCTTCCTTCCTTTGACAAATCTGGATACTTCTTTAATGAATATGTCATCAAACTTTGAAATTTCAATAAAATCATTTCATGGATAAATCAAATCCATGAATCCATAGTCTGTCATAATTTTTATAAATGAAGGGTCACCTCCTTCAATGACTGTTATTCTGGGGTAAACATTATTTTCCGGAAAAATGAAATATGAATTACTTATTTTTATTTCATAAGCGATTTTGACTATTTCGGCATATTTTTTTTCGTTTGGATCTAAAGGAATTTTATCTTCTTGGTCTATGATGCTGATTGTTTTGGTATCTCTTTTATCTCCATGTATCATAACTTTCTTGGTTGATGATACAAAAATGGAATCTCCTTTATTATCAGTTGGTATGTTGTCACGTCTGGGTCCACTGCTGCTTCCAGCTGTCCCTGTTTGGTATTGATTTGGAAAACTCATTTCTGAGCTCTTTGGTATATCTGTCTCAGACAGTATATCTTTTAGTTGTGCTGTAATAGCATCAACTTGGTTTTTGAGTTCTATGGCATATTTTTTATGTTCAGTAGTAATATTCAACAGTATTTTTATACTTGAGTTGAACATCTCTGAGACCTGAGTTGCTCTAGAGTTTACATCTTCGAATTCTTTTTTAAGAAAATCCGTCCTTTTTTGTATGTGTAGAATAGATTGGTATAATTCTATGACCTTGGCTTTATCCATCAGCAAATTCTATGTTTTTGCTGAGAAAATCTGCAAAAAAATTATTAACTCCTTTAATGTGGACTATATCAAAATTATAAAATGCTAAATAAGCTTGCCATCTATGAAGCCTTTTGTATTGTGGTTCTGCGGGTAACTTATTCCTGATTAATCCTGCAATTTGAGAATTATCAGTTTCAACAATAAATTTCTTGGATAATAAAAACAATAAGAACTTTTTTATTCCTCTAATAATTGCTAGTAATTCTTTTTCATGAGTAGTATAATTTATTTCTGCTTGATTAAAGGTTCCACTTGAGTATCTACAAATTTCATTAAGATCTGTTTTTAATATTGCTGTCCAATATTTATCGGAGGCATCAGTATTAACAATCAAATTATCTTTTTCATATGGTAATCTTAATTTTGGTAAATTTTTGCATTCTTCTTTTAATGAGTTAATTATTTTTGTATGTTTTTCATTCCATCCCTCAGTATTTGTTTTTCTAAGTAAAACTTGGATTTTGTGTTTTTTTTTAGAAAGATTTTCAATAAATCATTTTGCATAATTTAAACATTCTAAAAATTTTTAAATTTATTTTTTGGATTCTAATTTATTTGGAAAACTTTATATCTTTTTGGATATATGAGTCTGTAATTCTATCCCTTTTTTAATCTATTGATAATTCAAGAAAGTCCATCTCTTGTTTTTCTATTATAGATTTTTTTTAGATAGTACAATTCTTTTTTTTTTTTTACATTCGTTAATAAATTGGATTAAATGATTTCTATGCTCTTCTTTACTATTAGAACATATTAATCTATCATAAACATAAACTATTAGAAATTCATTAAACTTTTTAAATATATTATCCATCTTTCTTTGATATATTTGTGATGCATTTTTCAAACCAAATTGCATAATTAACCATTCATATTTTTCTTAAAGTGTGCTAAATGCAGTATATTGTATACTATCTTCTTCTACTTTTACTTTCCAAAATTCTGATTTACAATCAAATTTAGAATAATATTATTTTC